TGATGTGTTTTTTTAGAATGGAAAGATTGCAGAATGTTTACTCTGTTGTTCAATGTATCTGTTTATTATTTTGGGTCTATTTCAATAGTGAATAAACGCATCTTTTAATCATGCTGGTTTTGTATTCCAGGTTTTCAGTAAGTTTTCAATCATCAGTCGTATCAGAGTTATGTTTTTTTGACAAAACTTTGAAAAATACCAATTTGATAATCAAATTAGGATTTTACATTTTTATTCAAATAAACATTAATTGACATAGGCACACCTTATAATGTAGTTTCTTAAAAGTCTCGTAAAACATTCAAATTGGTGATTTCCGAACTTCATGCCAGGAATTAATTGACGCAAGGTTGATATAAATTTGATTATGTCACTAAAAGTTTCAATAAAAACACTATTTATTGTGCAATGAATTTCTAGAAACATGATACATTATAGTGAATTAGAAAATTTGTTTCTTTTTCTGCATAAAATTAAAGCATTAAATTTGAATAAAATGGAGATAAACCTTTGCATCGGAGCAACTGAAAAGTTTATTTGCATAATGTTTTAAACAAAAATGTTTAAATTATTATAATTGAGCGTAACTGAAGAATTTCTTTTTCATTTTCCTACGAGTTTTATTAACCAGATTTGAAACGTGAACAGCATACTACTTCCATATTTAAACACATATAATTATACTTACACTAAACTCTGAACAGTGGTAAGTCGTCTTAAAGTAGTTTTTTCACTTTTGGGGGAAGGGGGTCGGTGTGCTTTGGAGGGGAAAAATGCAATAGGAGGGAGAATTGTATTCGTTTATTTATTTTATATTGTTTTCTTTGCGGTAGAAAAGGGGAGCAACACAATTTTAAAATACGTAGCTTTTTCTTAATATACGGGTCTAAAATATCGACGCGTCACATGTTAAACTTGTTGGTACGCCGAGAGTAGCTCCCCTAAGGTACCAAAGAACGATTTGTAAACAACCTTGGTTAACAGTGAGTCTTACAAGCATAAAATCAAACATTTTTCGGCAGTTTGTTGCAAAAAAATGATATTCATTGCAGGCAAATTCGGGCTGCCGTATAGGAGAAAATTTCGACTTTGAAGAGTGAAAAACATACTATTTTGAGGGGAGAATGGGGCCGAATTACGCCGAATATTCTGGTAAAAAAACACTGTCTTAGAATTAGAAAGCAAGTATTGTAAGAAAATCCCACCCGCACAAATGATAAGAAATGTTATTACTTTAATATTTTACAAATTGAAATTGAAAACCTGAATGTTTGTTGACTTACGAATGAATCCAATCAGATATCTTAACATACTCTATGGATCAGAAATGAGATTTTGTTGAATACAGAATAATGAAAATTAATAACTACCACCAAAATAATAATAATTTTTTGTTAATTGAAATGAGTTTATGCATTGTATAAGGTCGTTTATCAAAAGTTTCAAATGCTTCCTATAAACCTGGTCATATCTATGTTGAGTTTAGAATTGCTTTACCTGCGTTTTTATATAATAAAGTCTGGACCATGGTTTTCAGTATTGCGTATTTGCTCTCATGGAATCAGAAACATGGTTATATCTATGATAACTTTAGATCTACTACATGTGTATCTGCGTGAGTTTCTATCATTCAGACTGGAACATCAAGAATTTATGTTAATTGCGTGGTTTGCTCTAGGGAAATCGTCTTATATATCCGTTGAAACTAATGTATGTTTCAAGGATGCCGTTTGCTATGAGAGAAGAAATTAATGTTTCATATTATGTTTAAACTGTGGTGTTTCGGTACATTACAATGTACTAATAGAGCATTATTGTAATTTTACATCAATCTGAATCATAGTTAACGGCTACATGTCTCAATCGAGCTAAACATTAAAGTATCATAGAAGTGCAAAATAATGTATCAACGCTTGGTCATGTATTCTGTTGATATACTTATCTTTTTATTTCTATTCCCATAACATTCTGTGCTTAATATAAATCGCAGTGTTTTTGTCATATTAATATTAATGTTGTCTAATGTAAATAATATGTTATTTTTTTGCATTTCTCCTGTTCTTTTGTTGTAAGTAAATCTGTTTCCATTAACGACTGAAGAATATGATCATGTTCACAAGGACGTTTTCATATGTCACTGCAATTGTCATAATTATTTAACTTTCAAAATTGCTTCATACATCAGTTGGAATTGTTTTATCAATACATGTACTTTTATGATCAAATAATTGGTGCTTTATTTCTGATTTTCCTCCGATGTTTGTTTAGAATGCAATTATTTGCCTAAGCACCAAATTACGGAAAAAGCTCTTGAAATATAGTAGATAAATACACAAAACGCATATCTTATCAATTAGCTATGAGTAAAGACGCGGCTATAAAACTGTTTACTGCAATGAATGCTCTCTTTAAGGAACAGACACTTTTTATTAGAAAACATTTAGTATTACTTTTTGGAGTACTTATTTACCCCGTTTATCTACAATTCAACAGACCCAGATTCCCACAAGCAACTCAGAAACAGCAAACAATTTACTAAAAAGTCCTAAATCTAATGTAATTTTAGCAATTTGTGTGGAAATTAAATTTCCTCTTCCCATGAATGCTCTGTAAATTAAAACATATAGCGGTGAACAAACTGTGTAGCTTCTATGAAACAATCTAGTAATGATGTCTCTCACGCGAATCCTAATGTATGACTGATCGTATCTGACAAACACTTGTCTCTTTATCTTTGATTGTTTGTTTGAAGTATCAATCTTCGTCTCAGCAGACAATCTTAACTCAAGCTAATCTTAAGCTTTCTTTTAACGTCAAAGTATTGTGTATATGCATAAATTCAATACATTGAACGTTACAAATAACTTAGTTGCATAGTGGTTTCAAACAACTTGTCCCTTAATTGCTGTAGGTTTGTAAACAGCTAGGGACTTAATGTTAGAAGGCTATCAAGCTAGCTAACTGAACGTTGGTGGTTCTACTCGGGTGCACACTCGAACCTGAAATTATGCACGGAGGGGCACCTGAAGTTACGTCCACTACAATGACGGCATTTGACCTTTACTGTGTTGGTGCTCGTAAAATTAACCAATAACAAGAAATGTAAATGTTCTTAAACATTTCATCATCTTATGTTTACATTCTTAAATGCTTAACTTATTTAATAAATATTTTTCCATGTGACCGTCCAATTTAGACACCTTTTAATTTCCTCACATTATCATCATCTTGCTTTTTATCTTTATTTCATCTTTTAACAAACACACAATGTTAAAAAGTTAAAATGTTAGAAAGTGAAACGCCAACATCTATGCTTGTTAAAAGTCAGAGGAGTATGCTAAATATCAATATCAATATAATTACCCTAAAAATAGTTAGATGTGAAGGATTACCAGTTGTAATGTGATATGAAACAAAACTCTGTTTGAATACCAGTATCTGATTTAATTGTTTTATCTTGAATTGCAATAACTTTAATATAAAACTTTGATATTGATTTAATATTTCTAAATACTTTATTGAATAAAGTATATCCATGTCTTTCTCTCGTAAAGTTATCATAAACTTCAGTATTTGTTGAGAACTGACCTCGTTCTGAAGTAGAAGTTACATTTTATTATCAGGTTCACATTTCTTATATTTAATTTCTTAAAGTTAGTTTTGTGTTTTGTTACACATGATCATCTAATTTGCATACGATAGGAGATACAATGATGAGTAAAACTGATTGAATTATATACATGTAGCCTTCATTTATGTATGATCACATGTCTGTATTGAATGCTTCTATGAAAAATGTCTATATAGATGCATTCAAGACAGATATGTAAACTACATTTTTGCTAGATGTTAAATTCATTGTGAATGTAATAAATGCTCATCAAGAGTACTAAAGTACTGGAAAAGATAAAAGTAATTTTATTCATCACTGTAATAAAATAATCTACATTATACGTTGCAAACTTCTAAAAATATTTGTATGTGATATGATTGTATATTTATATTCTAAAATCCAGCATTTATATTAAATAAAATTATTTATGTTCTATATTTTTATTTGAAACGCATATATTTATATGGTAAAATATATGGTATTAAGACGCATTTGTTTTAAAAGTGGAGAAAAAAATCTGTTCAGTAATGGCATCATTGGATAGTTATAACATTTTTAGCGTTGGTTTCTCGGTTAAAGTACCTGCTTCTCAACCTAGCGTTCGTCGCTTCGCCCCGTTCCTCGACACATTGCATCAGCACCTAGAATGTTCCAGGAAGCTGACATGATATTTCGATCGGGTTTTATCTATACGATTAGATAAGAACTGCTTTATTGGTGTTATTTAATTACATTCAAACTTGTACATTGTAATTAACAGTAATACATTATATTTCTTGCGTGTTTTGCTGTCAGTGAATCACATTAGATATCCATGAAGTTACTACCTGTATATCTCAAGGAGTCAATCTACTAAAAGAGAATAACTTTAAATTATATGCAAGGTAAACAACAATGCAATTTAATGATGATATTGTAATTTCCCAACCTTTCTAAAATCGTATCAGTGTTATACGGAATATGTTTATAATTATATAGAACGTTCTCATATAAACTGTATTATGTTCATGTAATTGTGTTTATGTGACTATTTGCATAATATTTCTTTCAATTTCACATTCTATATGCTATCTATTATCACGATATAATTCAATCTCTAAAAAGAATTCATTCTTGCTGTCTGTAAATATTAAAATTTGGAAACAAAGTGATCACTTGGAAGCATTAGTCACAACAGAATTAAGACATCACATAAGAAATGACATATATTAAAACCAACATTGGTTTATTGCAATTAACAGGCACGCTTGAATACATTTTATGCAAAATCTAGCACATGAAAATATTTACACATTCATATAAGAATAAGTACATTACACACAGTCAATATTACACTACGCTTATACAATTTTTGATATAAAATACTTTTATAAAGAGTAAAAGCAACTTGACACTATACTTATTTTAATAGTTTTATAATAACATAGACGTGTGGATATACTTGAAATATTTGATAGAATCTTACAAGCTGGACTACATCTAACATCATTACAAATGTATCAATGAATCGTGGGTTATAAGTCGAGATGGTTTGAAATCACGTCACATTAGAAATGTTCAGCTATGGGTAATTCTGGAAATGTTCAAATTGCTTAAACACAGAGAGGAAATATTGTTGGTCATAATACATTCAATGCTTAAAAATAAGTGCAATAAAGAAGACAAATTTGAACTTTGTTGAATCATCCTTTAGTTTCGTTTTGTTGTCAACACCTTTAGATAGTGTAATTGTGTAAAACATGACATCTCTTTGTATTTTCTTTTCAAAAGACAAATGATAAATATGTTCAAGCTATCGAAGATGTTTCCATATCTCACTAAAATTGCCCTAATAATATAATACCTAAATTGCTTCATACATCAGTTGGAATTGTTTTATCAATACACTTCCCTTTAATGATCGAATAATTGGTGCTTGATTTCTGATTTTCCTCTGATGTTTGTTTGCATTGAAAATATTTGCCTAAGCACCACATTTTGTGCACTTCAGCCCGAAAATAAGCACTTGTAATATAGTAGATAAATACATAACACGCATAATTTGACAAACAAATTTCCTCAACAATCCGTCTAATATGGTAGTAAATCATATAACTAGACCACGTGGGATCTTTCGACCAATCAGCGGGATGCGTTGCTAAATTTCCCGATTTAATACTCATTTGAATAGCATAGACAATTGTTGCTGGTAACAAAGTACAAATGAGATAGAACGAGACAGATAACAAGGTGACTGTTGACGTCTGATTTGATCCTCGATCTTGTCCAAATGAAGCCTGGAATTTATTGATTTTCTTGATTTCTTTGATGACGAGTATGTTGAATATGAGAACAATCAGGGGAACTGCAGCAAATATAATCATTTCAGACACCCACGTCCATATTGTGTAAAAGAATTCCTGCAAATACAAACGATATGTTTTCAGGACTTAAACAAAAGATTCATATCCATCTTCATATATATCATATGACTTTGTTAAATGTTCATTGCAATCAAAAAGTAAAACAATGCATTAGTTTCATTTTCTTTATCCTAATACAGAAATCTAAAGCGAAGATTACTAAAAGAACAAATTAAATCTCATAATATAACTGATACCTCTCCGAAAGAAAATAGGGTTTTCAAATTCCAGCCGAAATAAAAATAAAACTAAGGAAGCAAGTTTACCGGAATGAAAGCAATGTGTACGTATTTACAATATCTGATTGACCCTTTCCACACAAATAGCTGTCATTCTTAAAGTTGAACAATTGGAAATCCATTCAACATCTTTTTCTTAATTTATCTTGCACCGTTAACGCGTTTCTAATGATAAATGTTTTTTCTTTTGTTATTTTCTTTACCTGACGGCTGACATACTGATTGATGACAAAATGATATCTTAAATTTGTTTTTTCAAAAATCTTTGTGCGTTGATGACATTTTAATTTCTTATTTTTCACACATCCAGGAAACACACATCTGCTTAATGTAATTGAGTTTCATTCATAAAAGATTGACGTAACACATGATGACAGAAACATCACTGAAAGTGTTTATCGCCATTTTAAAATAGATTTATTTACAAAAAATGTATGTAAAACAAACATGTATCTTCTTGGGTGATCCAAGACGTAACTTTTATAAAGGTAAGATGAAATTTATATGACCAATATGTATGTTCCTTCAAATACTATATTGACTGTACATGGATTATGTTTTGTATTCATCAGCCTATATAAACATGCTCTTCCTATTGTGAAACAAAATGACTTATTCATCCTAGTCAGTCTGAAAACATGCTATTTCCCGAGCCAGGGCAACACGAGTTTAGCCTAGATTAGATTGTATAATTTACACAGAGTGTAATCCCATAATTTAAAGTTAATTATCAATGTTTTGGTTTACTTTTTATATTATTTATTTTTCTTGTGCAATTTGTAAAATTCTTTTTTACAATCAGAAACTCGTTTAAGATGCAAGATCATCTGAAATATTGCGCTAATTTACTGTTTATGGCGCTGATTTATTTCGTAAATGCACTTTTGGATTTTACAAATTACAACTTCTATCAGTTGCTTAGATTAGTAAAGGACCGCACATTCGCAGGATGCACTGATATGCTATTTTGTCACGTGTGTTCACCTTCTTATTTATGTAAATTCCGGGACGTTTTAATTTAGTTTCAAAATTAAAATTTAAAAAGCTTTTAGTATGCTTATCTTAGCATTGCCATATACTAGTATACAATATCTAACTGTAAATTTTAAGCATATATTTCTTTAAAGGGATACTCAGGCAAGTAAATGACATAAATATTAAAATGATTTGATTTACTCATATCACGCTAAAATGACATTTTTTTTATAGCAGCAGCACGAATTTTTGCATAAATTCAATATATTTTGGGTTCGAAGCGTAAAAATATCAAGATACATTGAACGAAATTTAGACGCTGACAGAATCACTGAGTAGTTTTAAAACAAGTCATCTGACTTGAACAAACCCTGGAAGTTACAATCACAGATATTGTGGATATTGTATGATTAAAACAAGTCTAAGTCATTCATTTGATATGTTCTTTAACGTTTCCAGAGTTCAATGTGGCAACTATTGTGAAATCTTTACGCTCTAACCTGACCCGCGTGGATCAAGTTAGGAAACCAGCATTTTATTCTTTATAAGGAGAAAATTTTTGTTCCTATTACTGCCTAGTGTATTAATTTTTAGGACATTTATAGAATAATTAATGAAAAAAATCAAAACGTAGAAATGATAATTTTGTCTGTGCCTCTATTTAAGTGGTAAAAACCTATTAGTATTTGCAATGTTAGCTTTTCTAAAAGGCAACATTTTCAGCTTATGTAACGTTATCATATATTTTATTAAGATCGAAAAATTATTTACCTTATACCCAATTATTTCACACGCATCTCCTATCTCATCATACGTCCAGAAATAAGCTTGCATCAAACTAATGAGTAAAGATACGGCTATAAGAATGTTAACAGCAATGCACGCCTTCTTTACGGAACAGACACTTTCCTTCAAAAACGGGAAGCGAATGGCTATAAATCGTTCAAATGTGAATCCTAATATAAGAAGCGGCGCTAGATACTGTGGACAAAGGAAGAATACATTAAAAACTTCACACAACACAGGCTGATTAAAAGTGCTTATTCCATATGCCTGCAGGAGTTCCATCCAAACATGCAAGAAAATAAAAATTAAGTCTACAACAGCGATTGCACCAAGATAAATCGCAGATGAATTCGATTGTCGCATCTTCTGTGAAAGCCATATTTTAGCGCTTAAAATGTTCCCAATGATGCCAATGAAGTACCATATAGGAGTGATAACCCTGTCAATGATGAGTAATTCTGGGGCGGCAGTTCTGTGAATTTGAAAAATATCAGTCCTGTGTGGTCCTTCTTGTTGGAAAGTTGACTCGTTCGTTGTTGTATTCATTGTAATATAATCTGAAAAATATTTTTTTTTAAATAATTACTTATGTTAGCATTACTACATACCAAGGAGGAAAGGAAAAGCATTGTATAATATTTCATCAACATATCATAAGGAGAAGAATTTCATAAACATTTTGTCTTCCATTCTAATCCTGTTTTTAAGAATATTTGAAATGATTTGTGTATACTGTAAATGGAAACATGTATATATATATTCTGAGAAATAAAATACGAATAAAATAACATATCATCAGCCCGAAATCTTGTCATTAAAAACATTCAATTTTTAGACTTTTCGCCATCAATATCCTAATAATCATGTAATTGTCCCAATTATTGAAAAATGTAATATCCGCTTTTCTAAGGATGCTCTTAAATGAGATATATAGCAATGAGCAAACAAACTATGCCATCGTTGATGAAACAGATTGTATAGGCAGGGCATATCTCACATGACTCTTAATGCAAGACAAATTTCACCAACAAACGCTTGTTTCTGTATCTTTGATTATCTATATAGGGTATCAGTCTTCGTTTAATCATGGAACTTATCATTATTTTTAATGAGGTACATCACATGACACCGTTGTTGTGGTAGGAAAAATTCATTTTTATGTAATTTATTTTTTTCAATTGTTACTTAATCATGTCAATAATGTTGAGACTTCGAAAGCGATTTTGTTGTTTTAAACCAGTAATTGTTTTGAATAAATTGTAGCCGTTATACAAAAATAGTTTTAAGGTCGCGAACTTGATCTATAGTAAGCAATTGTGACATGTTTACACAAAAAAGCTCATACGAAAGAACAAATATGTATGATGTTTGTTTTTTTAAATGAAAAGATTGCAGAATGTTAACATTGTTGTTCAATGTATTTATATATTATTTAAGCTATAAGTCTGTATTGAGTAAAAGCGCCTTTAATTATGTTGCTTGTGTATTCCAGGTTTTCAGTAAGTTTTCAATTATTGTTGGTATCTATGTTATGTTTTCTTATCATCTACAGAATTTATTTTACAAACACCAAATGAATATTTCTCTTCCTGTTTGAAGCATTAACAACACTATATTTTAAGACAAAGCTCTGGAAAATACCAATTTAATTATCAAATTAGGATTTTACATTTTAATTTACATTAACATCAATTGTCATACGCACACATTATAATCTAGTTCCTTAAAAGTCTCGTTAAACATATTTCCGAATTTCATGTCAGGAATTAATTGATGCAAGGTCGACATAAATTTTATTATATCACTAAAATTGCAATAAAATCATTATTGTGCAATGAATTTTTACAAACATGTTACATAATAGTGAATTAGAAAATTTGTTTCTTTTCCTGCATAAGGTTAAAGCATTAAATATGAATAAAATGAAGATAAACCTTTGAATCGGAGCCATTGAAAAATTATTTGCATAATGTTTTAAACACAAATGTGTAAATTATTATAATTAAGGGTAACTGAAGATTTTGTTTTTCATTTCTTTACGAGTTTTATTAACCAGATTTGAAAAGTGACCTGCACACTACTTCCATATTTAAACACACATATACTTTCAATAAGAGCTGAACATTGGTAAAAAAGAGAAAAACAGAATCCCTAAAGAAAGCCCAACACGGCAAAATTGTTAAATGTTGCAGGCTCGGTTTGATTGAGCCTGTTCATGGACGGTACTGGAAAGTGCAAGTTACCGTCCACGCCCCCTAGCACCGGCTTAAGCAGAATTCAACATTTAACACGAAAATGGTGAAATTTTGAATTTATAAACATAAAAGTAACACATAACATGTATACACAAGAATAATGTCGTGCTGATCGATCTTCAAGGATCGAAAATATATCATCATTGATTAAATGTACGGAAAGACTTTTTACAGCCGCCACACGGCACAAATAACACGGATGTGACAATAAAATAGAGAAAAACAGAATCCCTAAAGAAAGCCCAACACGGCAAAATTGTAAAATGTTGCAGGCTCGGTTTGATTAAGCCTGTTAATGGACGGTTCTGGAAAATGCAAGTAACCGTCCACGCCCCCTAGCACCGGCTTAATCAGAATTGAACATTTAACACGAAAATGGTGAAATTTTGAATTTATTAACATCCTACGGCGGTTATCATGGAACCTTCAATGTGACACAGTAGGGTGCCATTCCATGAAAGGTGGTGTATGGTCCCCAAGTAAAAGAATGCTTTTGCCCTAAACGAGAAAACAATGGGCGGAACTAAATAAAATGGAATTTTGAAAAGGGATCTGAGGTTATGAAGCCTGCATATCACAGATTAGACGTCAAAAGACAATTTTAAAAAGCAGGCAACATATCCTAAGGGTGATTTTACAGTATTCAAGTAGGAATAAGTCGTCTTAGAATTAGAAAGCAAGTATTGCAAGAAAATCACCCAAACAAACGAGAAGAAATGTTATTACTGTAATATCTTTCAAATTGAAATTGCTAACCAGAATGTTTGTTGACATTTGATTAATGGTGAATGAAATCCAAACAAATATTCTAGTAATATACAAGAAAGGTTTTATTGAATAAGAATTATCATACAGTATAATGCAAATGAATAACTTCCACCAAAGTATTAATAATTTTATTGACTTTGACTTTATCTAAACATCTTATAGAAAGATGTTTTCATGATCTTTGACAATATAATTACACATGTACATTAGACACACGCATATGAAAGGAACTCTATTGTTGTCCAAAAATCTGTCGACTGGAGGCACTTATTTATTATGTAAAAAATAGATAAAGAAATATACTAAGATTGTGATTAAAAATAAGTATTTATTGCAATTCCTAACCTGATTAGATTTAAAATCGCTTAATTTCGTTTCTCTTTAGGACTTTTTGCATTTAAATAAATGTTAATTCTGGACAAACATAGTAAAAGAATAAACAGAAAATTTGTATATGAGTTTTTGGTATAGAATTACATCAAATGGTATAAAAATCTCGAAAAAAATATTTCTAGTTTCTTTATGACAATAAAGCTCCGGGAGTTCCTTTAAGTTTTACGAAATGTCAATGTATTATACAGACAATAAATAGGATGATAAAATACAGAGTTTAAACGGTATATCTATTTTTTACGAAAACATGACAAAACATTAAAAAGAAATCAATATGAATAGAATCTATGCAAATAAACATACAGCAATCTCACATTTGCAAGTTTTGCAAAACTATTAAGAATATCTTTTCAGTCGAAATGCTGAATATTAATCTTTTTGTGTAAATGTTTTAATAAAAATAATAATAATAAGATGATTCTTTATACTTGCATAGAACTTAACAAACATGTCAAATAGTAAATATAGAACAATTCAATCATTAAATGTCATGTAAAACCGGTTTGTGATAATTAATTAATTATACTATATCATTAAAAAGAAGCTGGTATTGCCTAAAAGTGACAGGATTATAATCTTTATCAAAATTGTAATATTACGTTGTTTCAATGTTCCTTACACCCGGAACTGTATTCAAGACTTTAACAGTTTCCTTTGTTTGATGTGTATTACTTTTTGGCTTAAATAGCAATTATAATTGGATAACAAATGCAAAACGTACACAACAAAAGAAAAGACGGTAATAAATTCGTTTAACAAATAATAAACGATTGTTTCTAGTACACATATTGTGATCAATAAAATGATTTTCTGGAATGTGAAATGTTTTTTAATTACCCTCCGATATTAAACAGTCAGTTTGATTAGCCGACAAACATTGGATGTCCCAGATATATTGACAAGGCGCTAATGACGTTCCTTTGCATACCGATACTGCAAAGACAGAGTATGAATCAATTTCGTAGACAATCGCTGGAACATTGAAACATACAACTGTCTTATTGTAAAAATTTAACCCGCACTTCACTTCAATGTTGTTATATTGTTCTGGTCTTTCGGGATCATTGATGCCAGCACTATTAAATGTTGAGAATTGATTACCGCTCAAGCCGGTGCTAGAGGGCGTGAGGGATGTTGCACTTGTTCATTATCCCTCATTTATAGACTCAATCAAACCGAGTCTGCAATTGCCATGTTGTTTTTGTTGTGATTGATGTTTGTTTTCATATTTTTACACATGCAACTGCTTTAAAATATTTTTGATACCATTTAAAAATGAATATCTTTAAACTTAGCATTATATAGAATGATAGTTTCCATATTTTACGATTAAACAAATAGTTTTTTGTAACAAATAATTATCAAGAATTCTGATAATTAGTTATGTATGTTCACTTTTTATAACGACAAAGATAAAATTAAGAATATGATTATAACTTACGCGACAGTCTTCTATTATGAATTGGTTACTCAAAGTATCAAAGTACATAGAAGCTTTATCATGAACATTTCGTATTTACGTCCGCCGCAACAAAAAAGATGTCAATTAACTAGGCTTTTCGTTGAATTGGTTAAGAATTCCCCACGAATAACAGTTGTCATAGTTGGGGCAAAGTAACGAATAAAACAATTGACGTCATGGAGGTCGGGGTATGGGCAAGTACGTTGTTTGAAGATCTCTTAAATGGCACCAATTATGCACAACGCATTGATTTTGTAGGTAAATAAATATATTGTCTAAAGCCTTCTTGTTTTCTATCCACCTGCATTTAACTTCTGATTTGTAATTTTAGCGAACTATAATATATCTGTCATTCAGCTAAATGAAAAAGGTAATCCTTAAGAACACATTGGAATTCTTGAGATAATGTGAAAGACTTTTCCCGTTTGATAGTCTGTTAGCATTATAATTATTCCTTGCATAAGCCATGTTGTCTAAGAAAAAACATACTTAAACACTTTGTATAGTATAAACACTATATACAAATGAGGTTTTTAAGAATAAAGGTCATCTTTTAATATTGAAAATAAAACTAAAATAAAATGACGGCAACTAAGCATGTTACAAATACGTGTATATGAAAATAAAGAATTTATTTGCATATCATAATAGGGCTTGTACATAAACATTGTTTTAGTAA